AGTAGTGTGTGTGTGTGTGTGTGTGTGTGTGTGTGTGTGTGTGTGTGTTTTAAGTAATTTTTTAAAATGGCTTCGTTATAAATTTCATTATGTATGATATTAATATATTAATTTTTTATAATACAACTATAAAAGTATAAATCATTTTTATACTTATAATTCTATCCATAATAAATCCAAATAGAATTGAAATATAAATTCGTAAATTATAATTAAAAAATGGATCCCTTGATTTTACCTTAATGCTGATTAGATTTACGCCGCATTCGCCGGCAATCGCCTTGGCTAGCATCGTTTTTCCAGTACCAGGCATTCCATATAACAGGACGCCGCTCTGAAGCTTTATCGGAGCATTCTTAAAGATTTTCGGATATTTGAGCGGCCACTGCAAAATTTCCGTGAGGGATCTTTTCGTGTCTGCCAATCCGCCAATGTCGGACCAAGAGTGACTGCCGCTCTTGTACAATTGCACATCCCGCAGTGACATCGGCGTGCAATCCTCCAGCGCAGTGTTAACGTCCTCCTCCGTCACGGTAATCGGTGATTCCAATCTTTCTGCCGCTTTAAATAAATAAAAATGTATAAACATGGCACATTACAACTACAACGATCTCCTAAAAACAGTTAAGTTAAAAAGATACATATTTCCTCCGACTTGAAACTAAATACTAAACTTTTCTTTTAATATTTAAATAAATACTAAGTATTAAGTGCCCAGATAGCACGGATAATCTAAAAAATAATAATTCGAACCTGATTACAAAATATACGTTTTACCAGAAAGAAATTTTTTTTGAGCTTATAACATATACAACATCATCGAGTTGAACTAGGTGATAGGGATGTTTGGGTAGATAACGAAATAGATTGATGATTAATTATTGATAATCTTGCTGCAAAAATAGCCGTTAATTGTCATGGTTATCGAGTACATTATTGTTTGCTTTTACTATTTTTTTTATTTTTATTTTTTTTTTTAGATCAATTGCCCTACTTAAAATTACTGCAGTATTCGTCGGTATTTTTATTTATCATTCATCTGTCACGTTACCGTGACGCTTCCACGCGACAAACGTAGCCTTCTCCGCTAGGTCGACGAGATCCTGAGGCATCCAGCCCTCGGTCTTGTTTCCATAGTAATTCCAATTCATGTCTCCGGGCACGCACAACTTGTCCTCGAGCGTTAATCGCAAAATATCGATTCTATCCACCTGGTTAGCCACGACACGAGTTAGTGTTGTACGCAGAAATCAACAAGCGAATGTTCTAACTTACAGGATAGGGGAGTTTAATTATGAAGGTGCGGAAATATGAAAGCGCGTTAATCGAGAAACGCGTCGACAAACAAACATGAAGACGCCGGAGATACTCAGAAATCAAACAAAAGAAATCAAACAAAAGAAAAAGATCAAAAATGAAAAAGAAAACCGTATATATCAAGCAGTAAATATAATTGATAGGGTAGTTTATATTTTTCTTTCTATTCCTCTTTTCGAACGAAGTCGATTCATTGGATCGATCATCATAAAGATAACACGAGGTGAAAATTAAATTTTGTAATTTTTACATTAAACATACAAATATGTAATGTAAACAAAATATATGAAAAAAATTCTAATTTCCTGTCAATCTATTTTTTTTTTTTTTTTTTCTAAATAAAAGCTTTATTTTCCTTAAATATCATGCACGTTACTTTGTAAAATAGTTTCAAATGAATTAATTGTACCCTTTCGAGATTGGGAATTTGCAGAACTGTCCTGAAGAATTGCGCTCCCCTAGCCGGTCGTAATTTCGAACCAATTTTGCTCACGCCGGCACAAGTAGCGACGATCGAGATGTAATGAGATTTCTGGTATTGCGTGATGGTATTAATCAGTACATCGGTAATTCTAAAATCAATTTAATATCAATCAATTATCAAATCCTGTCGATGAGGATAATCGTCAAGTGGATTTTAAAATAAAATTCTATTTACCTGGAAGCATTCGTTGCATCTATCGTATTTTCCTCATCATTTGATGATGCGTTGGTAATGCTTTCCAAATTATCCAGAAATAGTATGGACGGTTGATAATACACACACTCACTCATGGCCGAATTAAAAATCTTCTGTAGTATCTCTACCTTTTTGCCTAATAAATAATTATCCCAGATAAATATGAGAGATATCGCATATGTGTTAAGCAACTGACACAGACAAAATTTAACAGAATTCAAAGTCACACTCTTTAATTCATTTAGCGAATCTCATTTTAAACAGATGTTATTCTGATGATAAACATAAACATAAATTTAATTTATATTTAATTTGTATGAAAATAAACGCAGTTATAATAAAGTTATAAAATAAATTCCAAAATTCGTAATTTGAGCGATATTGACTTTTTTTTTTTAATTATAAACTATAAATTGAAATTGATCACACACACTAAAATGAAATGTAATAATAATAATTTATATTAATTTATATTATTTGTATTAAAATTAAAAGGGAGCATTGATCAAAGTCTTCTATTATATAATTAGTAAATTACTGCTAGAGAAAGCCACAAATATTCGTAACATTTAGAGTCCTGCACGGGCTTGGTAGTCGGCAGAAATCAAAATTCGCCACGATACATCGCAGTTAATTGCACTAATTGTGCGGAAATTATTATCGCGATATTACCTTTCAGTGACCTGCAATCGATTACATGCGCGTGCACGAAACACGGTGGCTCGCGATAACGTTCGATTAGCATTTTGCAGATGGTCGTTTTGCCGGAACCTACGTCACCGCAGATCAGAACGTTCTCCCGGTCATACCGAAAGTCCACCGCAAGTCGTCGCAAGCCCAAGCTAAGATCGAGCGCGATCTCACAATCTTTAAGGATGTCCTCTATATATCTGTAATATTTTTTTGTTTAACATCTATTTCTACTTCCAACGTAGATTAACCGTGTCGTCTTGGTTTTACTTATTTTTCTATCTCTTTTAGTTCTAAAAATTAAAAAAAAAAAATAATAAAGTGTAAATTAAACCGAGATTAAAGTTTATCTACATTGGTAGAAATGGACGATTTAAAGATTTGATTGATTATTTGTAGACAGCGATTTAGAAATAGCATTATTATCGTAACATCATCGATACAACAACCATAAATACATGCATAAAGTGTAATGGAAAAGATATTTTTGTTAAAGTACCCCTAAAAACGCTAAAATATTTTGATCAGATATAGATTTGAAAATAACAATAATTGTTGAGCCATCAAAATAATTGAGATATTAAAATTGCTAGAATATCAGAAATTTTTGCATTATCATCATGTTTAAGGATTCTACCTTAATAATTTTTATGACCAAACAAAATTATTTTCAGATCTATCTATATTTGATTAAATTTTTAGATGCAAAATCACAACAAAAATTAATTTTTCCATGGGCACTTCATTACCTCATGGAAATTTTCGCTGCCTTCGAATTGTCCTCGAGACGATTTTTCAAAATTTCCTCGTTACTCGAATTCGCCCATTTCGTGGGCGAAACAATAACGACCAGATCTTCTACATCCTTCCCATCTATTGTCGCGTAATGACAATCTGTGGGTAACATTTGTACGACACATCGTTCGCCGTTGTCGAGTAAAATCGTCGCATCCGAATTGAGCAACAGTGGCTCGTGCTTCGAATGAAGTTTTAAGTAATTTTCAAGAACTTCCGGCGTTATCTCCGATCGATCGGAGATTGCTATGTTCATCGACGATGGTCTCGATCGCGCATCCTCCTCCTTGATCGTCTGCACGATCGCTCTGCATCCCGTTTCCAGTTCTAGAGTGATTCTCAAACTCGTTGACATGTACATGCAGGAATGACTCGAATTCAAGTCGAAATAGTCCTTATCTAATGACGACGCGGAGCATTTCTCTAAAACGTCCTCGAGAATATAAATTCTGGCGACGAATTCTTGCGGAGGTTTAAAAGAAGAATCATCGTTATTCGGAAAAACGGTAGCACGTTGTCGATCCTTCAACACTTTCTTGATTTTACCTGTGAATGAATTTTGTTGCTTTAATCCTGGTTATTAGGAAAAATTGAGCACGCAAATTTTAAGCAAAATAGAGAAAAGTCGCCGATACTGACTTTTAAAATGATACTTTTCTTGGCAACTAAACATTTATTATACTTTACTATATATTACTTTATTAATACTAATAAAAACGTGATTTACTTAGGCCCATAAAAAACCCATATTCGCATATTTGTAATTTGTTTCTATATAAAATTAACTAAAAACAAATTTTTCCAATGCAAAAATAATATATTTAGAATTTTTTGTACAAATTGCATAAACAATACTAACTGTAAGGATAATATTAAATTATCTTACAAGTTTGTAGCTTGCTAAAATTGCTTTATTTATATTTTCTCTTTTTTATTTTTCTTATTATGTCTATGTTAATGCAGTTTTTCATCCACTTGTAAAAAAAATCATCTTTTACTATTTTTATTTTCTTTGAAATATTTGTATTCTTCTTCTGAATATTATATTTATTTTAATTGATTAAAATAATTAAAACATGATTATAACAATTAAATATTGATGATGTATGATTATGTAAATAATTTTCTTCACGTCATACAACAGCTCATAATATGTTTATACAATTACAATCAAATTGATAGAATTAATCTAAATTTTATATTTAATTAAAAAATATATAAAAAGTAAGTTCATTCTTCTAATGTCTAACAAACAAAATCGGTGCAGCGTATACTGCACACATATGTCAATAATATTATCTGTTTTTTAATAAATGTTTATTTTTACTTTTCTAATTTTTACGTTGCTTTTATTTTTAAAATCTTAATCTTTTAATTTTATAAAATGTATTGTTTAATCTATAGAAACATATTTCTTTTTTATTCTTTTTTCATAGTTTATTAATTTATTTCATATATAATAAATTTACATAATTTAATATATTTTATGCTATATGTTTATATTTTTATTTCACTTATTATTATATTATTATATAATCTACATTCAGTGGTGCCAAAAATGGCTTCGTCTAAATTGCAGCATCATTGATTACTACGTTATTTTTGAAGCTCAATTTTCCAAATGCTCATTTTTATTTCTTTTAAAGCATTTCTTATTATGAAAATTTGAGTATATTATAAATATATCAGTGTATTATAAAACAATATCAGTCGTATCATAAAAATTGTCGTATCATCTAATAGAAGATACTTCCTAAGTTTATATTTGTTTCCAAAATTTTATTTTTGGCTTTTATTTAAGAAATGCAAATGTCTAAAAACAAAGCGATATATTATTATCGGCGACTTCCTTCTATTCTTTTTAAATAAAAATTACGTAAATAAATATTCTCTTTTTAATAAAAATTATAAAATTACACATTATTCCACTCGTCGTTCCTTTCGCGGTCTTTCGG